TGTGTGTGTGTGTGTGTGTGTGTGTGTGTGTGTGTGTGTGTGTGTGTTTGTTTACCCACGCGGCTGCTGCATGGCTTCCAGATAAGATGTGGGTCAGTAGAAGGACAAAAACGGCCTCGTTTGATAGGAGAGTCTGCTGTCACACAGACTCCGCGGACATGGATCATGTTGGCTTTGAGCTCTGAATTAGCTTCAGCGGCTAAGTGTCAGATGCTAAGTGTTCACATTAGCGTTTGTCACGGTGTGAGCGTGTCTCCGCCTTTTGTCATTGAAGACACCGGATCCTAGCGGGCGCTTCGGACATGTGCGTGAAACACAACCTCTCAAAGAGAGAAAGGGAGGTTTGTCGGAGGGTCAGGTGGCGTTCAGGAGCAGCGGCGCTCGGCTTCAGCAGCTGTCGTCACAGCAGTCAGCCGAGCGACGCACAGAGCAGGCCGAGCTCGAGTTCTTCTTCGTGGGTTTTTGCTAATTAAAGCAGCAGGTTTCTATATTCAAACCCTTGGAGTGAAAAGGAGGCTAGATGGTAGGGGGTTGGTTACAATGCCACGGTGTATCATTTTGACCCTCATCGTTTCTATACAACGTGATTTAGTTAGGACACAGGTTTCTGTGTAGTAACTTTCTATTTCAGGGTAAAAGTTCTTGTGATTGTCTGATAATGAAAGTGGTAGTGGAGGCAGAGTTTCAGACGAGATTGAAGTTGAGAGCGAATCACAGTTCACAGCTCCAGAGGTGAAATACTTCAAATATATCCAGTGTTTCCTCCATCGTCATGAATTCTTAAAGGGACACCGTGTCTTTATCTTTTTATCAGAACAACAATGACTACTCGGTGATCAAAGCAACAGTATCTACGTAGTGTTTTCATTTCTTTACATTTTTAAACATTCCTCGTGTGTGTGTGTGTGTGTGTGTGTTTGAGGTGAAGCAGGAGGCTCCTTATTATGGTCCCGTCTCTGCAGCACTGTCTGCTCTTCACCTTTTTGCTTTCCATGTAAACGCTCATTATTTTAGCGTGAATGGGAAGCGGACACTAAGTGTTTTGTTTTGTGTCTGTTCACCACTAAACCTTGTTCTCCAGTCTAGGGCCTCTGTCAAGGCCTTATAAGTAGTGTTTCTACGGCCACACCTGCTGCTACTTGTGGTTTGGTGATATTATGTGGCACAGCACCCTCCTCCTCTTCCTCCAGCAGCTGCTGTGTCTGAGGCCTCACACCAGCAGACGTCAGGCTGTGTTAGAATCACATACAATCTCTTTATAACCCCTCGAATTACAGTCGCGGTTCAGCTTCTTAACCACTTTGGAAGGAACTGTAATTCATTTCACAAACGTATGTGCAAACACACTTTTCTGATTCAAAGCATTACATAAGCCTGTAGTGGAAGCTGATTATGTACCCTACTTTTAATGGGGAGGATTTTAAATTAAGTGTCAGAATAAACTACTAATAGCACCACTGACTCTCATGTCGTCCCGCTGTTTGCCTCGTGGTGCTCAGAGTAGTCCGACCGCCTGCAGCCCCTCTGCCATCTGCATCCACTCACATCTCCTCCTCCATGGGCTGAACCTCAGCGAGGGGCCCGGCCGCCTCTTCCCACCTTTGAAACCACGCTAACAAGAGCCGGCCCGTTTGTTTCAGAGGGTGCTTGTCTGCCGCCGCCTGCCACGAGAGACTAATGGTCCGACGAATAGCTGTGTGAGAGAGAGAGTGTGTCTGAATGGGCGTGAGGCCGTGGCTGTCAGAGCAGTTTGGTCAACAGGTTGTTTAAGGCGGAGTAGGTGTCAGCGTCTATTCTTATCGCCCATAAAAAGAGCTCTCGCTCTCTACCTGTTCACTGAGTCATGTGACGTGTGCTGCCACCTCTCAGGCTACAATTAATGTCGGACATGTTTATCTGCATGAGCCTCAGTCCACTATACAGCTCGATTGTTTTAGGAATAGTGTCTACTGATTAGAGTTACATACAAATCAAAACAATTCAAATGATTTGGAGATAAATGATTGTATATTGAATTAAATATTTGCTTTGATTTGAACAAATCCTGTCATTAGTAGTTTAATTATGTATTATAAGAGCTAGTGTTAGGAAGTTAAACCGGTCAGAAGTCACTTTCTAAAATCTATTTGATGTTGCTGTGAAAACGTCACCTTCAAACAACTGGAATTATTTGAGTTTCTCGCCAAAAACTATATTTTAAAGGATTGTATTTGAAAACAGAATAGAGCCTGAAGGCATCATAATGTAACTCAATGCAACCTCCGTTAACGTTAGCCGTTAGCTGTGTCTTTTAGCCAAGCAGGACCGTGCCGACCACCTGCTGCTAACAGCTAACGTTAAGTAGCTCTCCTGATGATTTCAAGCATTTGTTGCCCAGTTCACTCTGTCCTTCCCTTTCTCCTCCCTCTCTGGGTTTTCTGTGTCAATGCCCCCCAGTGCTGACAGCAGGGTCACGCTTTCAAGTTCATGAACCCAGGACTCCACTTCTTTGTTTTCTGCCTCAGAAAACAAAATGTCACATAACATTTAGAAGGCTGCTCGTTAACAGCTTAGTCAGCCACCAGAAGGTTAATCAATTTTTATGATAAATGAAAGAGTCATTTGTCAAGAATAGATGATTTGTTTTTTTTCTCATTTCTTAGACTCGAACAATCAAGGAATCAAACAAATGTAATTGTTCCTCATTTAATTCAGTCTCTAGTGACTACCTCTATTGTGTCTCTGTTCTATTATTTGCCTTTATGAATGGAGAAGAAGCTGTGTGTGTGTGTGTGTGTGTGTGTGTGTGTGTGTGTGTGTGTGTGT